GCCAGTGTAAATGTCTGTAAGTGACGGCAGTGGTGATCCAGTAACACGCTCAGCTGCCCTCACCACCCGCTGAAGATCCTTCTTGTTCTCCTCTGTGCAGCTGGAGAACCACACAGTGCAGCAGTAGGTCAGGATGCTCTCTATGGCTGCCTGGTACAAGTTGGTGAGCAGGTGATGAGAGGTGTGAGCGTATTTTAACTTCCTGAGGAAGTACAGTCTTTGTTGGGCTTTCCTCACCTGGTGTGAGATGTGTGTGGTCCAGGTGAGGTCGGCTGAGATGTGAACACCAAGGAATTTGAAGCTCTCTACCGTCACGACCTCCTCCCCATGAGTGGAAAGGGCAGAGTGCTCAGTGCATCTAGATCTTCTGAAGTCCACTATGATTTCCTTGCTTTTAGTGATGTTTAAGTCCAGATTATTTTGAGAACACCAGTTTGTCAAGTGCTGAACCTCTTCTCTGTAGGCTGCCTCGCTGTTGTTTGATGTCTGGCCAACTATGGTGGTTATCAGTCACACCTGATCTTCTCCTGCCGAGACACGTCTCCTCTCTTCCTGTGATGTCATCAGTTTGTGCTGGTGAACACACACACACACACACACACACACACACACAGCTGAGTGTTTGATCTCAGAGTTCCATCATACAGACCCAGTCATCTCTTTACTGTGTCGGCTTCATGTTGTTCACTCCACCCTGAGACTGAGCTGAGTGTCACAGGCCAGCGGACGGGGACAGACATGAGACGGGCTCCAATTCCCCGCGCTCAGCAACACAGGAATAAATAAGCCTGCCCCCGTCAGAGGGTGGGGGGGGCATGGGTGCAGTGGGGGCAGGGTGGAGGAAACATGGGGACGGTGGGGTAACGGCCATGACACACCAAGCTGACGGTCGACCGTTGGTGAGCGTCTGTCGCCCTGGTCTTTGCACCGTTGCCCCTCGTCGGCCCCTGATGGCTTTTTACAGCCGATTCAGCCTGTTGAGTGCCGGCGTCTGGCCATGGCGGAGCCTGTCAGTGATTTATCCATTTAAAAACCTCTCTGATTGGCTGTTCAGCTCAGCTGGTGATGAGAGTTATTTCCTCTCATGCAGTTGTAGAACGTTGGTGTCGGCTATCCGTCGGCTGTCATCTGTGTGGTGTGTTCAAGTGCAACTTTTTAGCCGAGACACGGTGATGTGAGGCGACGAGGAAGAGGCCTTAGTCACTGCTCAGTCTCTGGAGTCGGCGTGGTGTGTCTGGGCCTGACAGATCGTGTATCTGTTGGAAACAGAGCAGGCAGAAGCTGCTGTGGTCACTGACAGACCAGCCTTAGTGTTTCATGTTTCCTGAGGCTCAGAGTCAGTTTAATGTGACGAGCTGCTCTTTATTTTAATATGACCTCATCTTAGATCTGACATTTTATTCATGTTGTGTAGACTAGCTTTATTCCTGGATCACCAACATGACAAACAGAAAGTCTAACTGTCGCTGAACGCAAATAAAAATGAGCCATTTGGTTCAATCTGACTCAGTGACATCATCACTGAATGTTCAGTAAACTCCGCCCACATTACTCACTGTTTCTGTTCCATTCTTCCACTGCTGCAGTTCACAAAATGCTAATGCTAATGCTAATGGTGGTAGAGTCACAATTTTTTCACACCACAATTTTGTCTGTCTGAGAAGACAACCACTGGTATTATAATAATGCTAATAATGATAATAACTTTATTTATAAAGCACATTTGAAAACAGAGTTTATGAAGTGCTTCAACAACCAAAACAAAAGCAGACATGTGAAACAGACATGTGAAACAGACATGTGAAACTCAGAGGGCAAAATAACAACAGAAAGTCAAACATGAGCCAGACAGAAACCAGGGTAGAGTCTGGGCAGCAGGCTCAGCAAAGTATTCTCCTCAACAGTATTTCCCAGCTCCTCCTTGAGGACCCCGAGGTGTTCCCAGGCCAGATGAGATCTATAATGCCTCCAGTGTGTTCTGGGTCTGCCCCGGGGCCTCCTACCAGCTGGACCAGGAGGATCCTGATCAGATGTTGAACCACCTCAACATGAAGGAGCAGCGGCTCTACTCCGAGCTCCCTCCAGATGTCTGACTCCTCCCCCTATCTCTAAGGCTGAGCCCAGACACCCTACAGAGGAAACTCATTTCAGACACTTGTATCTGTGACCTTATTCTTTCAGTCACTACCCAGAGCTCATGACCATAGGTGAGGGTTGGGACGCAGATGGACCAGGAAGTAGAAAGCTTTGCCTTCTGGCTCAGCTCTTTGATTCAACTGTGAAAAACAAACTATTTTAATTTTGGCAGGGTGAGCAGAGGAGGCTGTGATGGTCCTGACAGCTGACAGCATCACCTACAGGTCCTGCAGTCTGTGTACATATGTGTTGATCAGATTACTGTGTAGCTAGCTGCAGTAGAGATGCACATTGTTTCATGTTTGGGGGTTTGAAAAGGTAAAAAAAGGCACTGAGCAGCGCTCTGACTGCAGAGTCTGTTTGGTCTGTGGACTCTGAAGCTTTGTCCCTGATGAATAACAGAATAGAGATGCAGGAGGAGGTTTGTGGAGCGGGATCAGAGGGTACAGAGAGGAGCTGCAGGGAGACGACTGGCTTTAACACAATTATCTGATACCAGCGTCTCTCTGTACCTCACCCCTGAGTCAGAAATGAGGTTAAATTAAATTGTAAAGTGTGTTTCCTTTATGGAGCGTGATGGTTTGGACACAGTCACACTGGTGTGACAGGTCGGACACAGAGGCAGAGCGGGGAGCCTGTTTGTGCGCCTTCGTCAGCCTGTCTGTCAGAGAGATGGCCGATTTAACCCTGGACAGAGTCCAGCCGAGGATTAAAGCTCAGTTAGCCTCTGTCACTCTTTGTTTGGCCTTTTGGCAAACACACTGAAAGGGCGGCTGAATGTGCGGCCAACCCGCTTCATGAGCTCACAGAGACAGAGTCGCCCTGCTGACTTAATTTCCACCTTTTATTTATATCACCATGTTTCTATATCCAGCTTTTTACTGACTGCAGTCTAGTTTGTGCTGTAAAGCTACTGTGGGTTATTCTGAGGGCCAAACCGGATGACGGGGGTGTTTATGGTTGGTCCCCCCCCCCCCCCCCCCCCCAAAAGCAGGCAGCTGTCTCCTCACAAGGCCCTTCCCATGGTCCCCCACACCGGGTCAGGAGCCGCTGACGGGAAGGAGGAGGAGGGGTGGAGGAGGAGGGGTGGAGGAGGAGGGGTGGAGGAGGAGGGGTGGTGTCCCTGTGTGTGACACAGTTAGGCAGGTTAGAGCCAGCAGCTCTGCCCCCTGCTGGTCACACACTGCAACAACAGGAGGAGAAAGCTCAGTGAAGGTTGAACATTTTATGTCATACATCCTGGACTCAGAAACTTTAATGACTTTTGCAAATTAGTGTAAAACAATCAATAAACAAACCAACAACAAGAGAAAGAAACAAAACAAAACAAAGCAAAATGAAACACAGCAGGTGGTGAGACAAAGAAAGAAGATTACACATAAGTTATCCGACAGGTTACAGGGCACTGACATGTGACACCATGACACAGTTAACCTGTTAAACCAGGGTGTCAAACATACGGCCCGGGGAACAGAACCGGCAAACTACATGACTTTGCACACCTAATATTGACACACTTGGAGCAGTTTAAACAGTGAGCAGATACTTCATGTCACCCCGACCACGACCAGAACACAGCTCTCTGAAATAACAATAAAAACCTCCTGTGGTCAGATTTAAAGATATGAAACATGCAACATGTTGTCAGCCAGCAGCTTCAGAACAAAAGAGTCTGTATCAGACTTTTATCTTAAACAATGTGGGTGGAGCCCTGCTGCTGAGGCACCGACAAACCTAACGACTGTAAATGGTTCATAAGGCAGAGGATGACTTCACCTGCTTCTTCAACAGCTTCACTGTAGTGGAAAATTATGAGGAAAAACACACATCATGAAAGTGAGCAGCAGAAAAAACGGAGACATACTGTTGAATTTCCAGATACTTTCCTGACGATCTCGCCAACTGTTCATTTTCTGTTTGTAAATGAACGTCTTTACACTAAAAAAAGGAAAGTTTGAAGGGGTTCATATTCACAGGTTATGATGCAATGATTTTACGTGTCTAGACTTGAGCTCAAGCTGGGCTGTATGTGGCCCATGGACTAAAATCAGTTTGAACCATTAACCTTTGACTTTAATTCTTCAGTCAGACGAACGACTGGTTGCCAGATTTTCTTACACAGTCCGTCTCTGTTTGACAACCTGAATCTAAATGTAAAACATCACATAAATTCTTCAGCCACAAATCAAATGTTCTCAGATTTCCACAATTGCAGCAGCAGTTTTCTCACTCTGTGTGGACAGAGAGACGACCTGAGCGTTATACCTGTCCTTCACTCTACCTGGCTCAGCACCCCAACCAGTGCGGTTAAAGGGGCAAAAACTCCTTCTTAAAAGACTTTGCAAAGAAGTCAAATAAATGACCCCAAAAAGTTTGCAGCCTGTGGCTCTGCAGGACTTTGTGAGACAGAGGTCCTTGATCTTTTGAACATTTCACACAGAGGGTGAAGCATCTTTATATTTTTTGTAGTCTAGTGAGAGAGAGGTGCAACCTGTGAACAACTCTGAATTGTATCAACACATTTATGGAGCTACTGTGAATATTTTCAGGTTCCTCACACTTCATGTGTAATCTGAATTCTTCCTGCCAGTTTTCCTGAAGATGGACATTTTAACTGTTGAAGAATGTTGTAAAAATCTTTAGTTTTTAACTAAAGCGTGAAGCAGCATGACGAGGTTCACACTCAGAAACATTTTGGTTTGCAGATGCAGCCGTGTGCATGACTCTGTGTCGGGGTGTGTTTCAGTGCAGCAGCAGGGACAGTAACAACAAACACGACAAGAGCTCAGTCGAGGACGAGCAGCGGATCAGATATCAGATATTTTTATCCTGTATTCATTGTGATTGTCTTCCTGTACTCGCAGCTATCCTTGGAATGTACACACTGATGAGCAACAAGCAGTACTACGACGCTCTGGGCACCACGGGAACCATCGCCAACACAGAGGGCATCAACAGTACGTATCACGTCATTTCAACTACAACTTCATCTGTTCATTAGTGAAGATGATTCAGAAACTAACACTGAACATGATCAGAGTCTTAATTTTGATTTGATATCTCCTTATTTAACTTTAGACTTTAATTTGTTGACAGCTGATGAGACAAAATCAAACACATTTAAGAAGCCGATAAATATTGTGCTGAACAGAAACTGACTGTGTGTGTTTGTAAATAAACTACACAAACAGAAAAACTCAAAAACTTCATGGACGTCTTTGAACATCGTGACGCAGGCTGCAGCATGTTGAGGTTTTTCGTCATGTTTGTGTCATTTAAATAAGGAGGATGTTTTCTTAGACGGACAGTTCACCCCCAAATCAAACTACATATTTTTCCTCCCAGCTGTGGAGCTGTGCATCAGTCTGGATAGTTTAGGCGTGAGTTACAGAGTGTTGCAGATATCGGCCGCAGAGATGTCTGTCTTCTCTCCATTATAATGAAACTCCAAAAAAAAAATCAACATCTCTTTACAGAAATCATGACCTGGTTACTCGACCTTGTTGTGAGCAGTTTTATGTAGGAATTATTTTCTTTGATCGGCCGTATCACAGCGCAGAGGGAAGCCTTAGCTGTGATGTCATGTCTCCTGCAGGTGTGGTGAAACCTGATCCGTTTAAGATCTTCCCTGATGAGCCGCCGAACCCCACCAACGTGGAGGAGACCCTGGAGAGAATCCACAACAACGACAGCAGCCTGACTGAAGTCAACCTCAACAACATCAAGGTCAGCTGAACAGGAAACACTGAGACGTCAACAGGTTTCTGAAAATGGTTCAACCTGACGTCATGTGTCGATGAGATTCATCGTGTGTGTGTGTGTGTGTGTGTGTGTGTGTGTGTGTGTGTGTATGCTGCAGGACATTCCCATCCCCACTCTGAAAGAGATCTTTGAGGCGATGAAGGGAAACTCTCACGTGGAGTTTCTGAGCATTGCTGCGACCCGCAGTAACGACCCTGTGGCCTATGTGAGTACACAGATATTCTCAGTGAAGCATATTCTGACGTCATACGGAGATATTTAAACATGAGCAGTCGTACGTCTCTCCCATCTCGACCTGTTAGCTCCCTTCTTTATGACTGAAGCTCTGTTTCCTCATGTGATTAATATGTTTGCGTCCTTGGGTGAGTTTTCTTTCTGTGGACGTACATAAACTGTTCATATGTGCACCAGGCGTGTGCCGAGATGCTGCAGGAGAACACCAGCTTGCAGAGTCTTAATATCGAGTCCAACTTCATCACTTCAGACGGCATGATGGCGGTCATCAAAGCTATGGCCAACAACGCCACGCTGGTGGAGCTCAAGATTGACAACCAGGTCTGAAACACACGACTCAAAGTGTGTCTGCCACTGTGGACACTGATGGCTGACATGTTTGTGTGTTCTGAGTTGTTACACCTGTGACCCTGTGACCCTGTGACCTTTACCCCACAGAGGCAGAAGCTGGGAGACTCAGTGGAGATGGAGATCGCCTCCATGTTGGAGAACAACTCCAGCATCCTGAAATTCGGCTACCACTTCACCCAGCAGGGTCCCCGCGCCAGAGCCGCCATGGCCATCACACGAAACAACGACATGCGTGAGAAACGCTCTGAAAATCATTCTGAATGTTCACGTACAGTTACAGACAGATACCAGTAAAGATCAGGGATGATTAGTGTGTCAAACCCAGCTGACACTGAATCATTATAAGCTTTAAATGTGGACTGAACTACAGACCTGTGAGCTTCATTTTTTGGCATTAACACGTGTATCTTGAGTCGCCATCTTTTCGTCTGATTACTGTTATTTTGCGTCATCTTCCCTCTGTCCGCAGTTCGCCAGCAGAGATTAAGATGAAGTCAACACAGAGGAAACAGAAGAAGAAGAACCAGACGCCTCCGACAGCCTCGTGGCAGCTTTCTCAGTGTGCAGCGCCGTGTGGAGCCGAACGACTCCTCCCAGATGAAGCTGGGTCGCTGTGTGCACGGTGCAACCCGCCTAACATACATTTCATTTCATTTAGTGCGGCCGGCTTTGTGTAGACTGCTGAATTCATCATAAAGGCATGTATAGGTCACAAGCAAAATGTGAAGTGTCTTTTTTTTTGTGCTTTTAGTTTGTGCATCGCCAACATCATCCCGACAAAACGTCATTCATAAAAACATTTTCAATGTGGTGCCATCTGTGGGAAGAAATCAAACTGTAAATACTTTAAATAAAAATATATCTTCAAGTATTTTTGTAAATGTTTGGAAAGTTTTAATTTGACTGTTTCTGCACCTCAAACAAACATTTTATATTTTTATGCCTCCATGCAGGCGATAGTCATAGCCGGAGGCGTTATGTTTCTGAGTTGGCACAAACATCTGTTTTTTACTCTTTAAACTAATCCAGTGAGGCTGATTCATGGATCACACATCAGACTCAAGGCGACAGGTTGTATAAAATAATGTGTGTGTCATGTCTCCAGCAGTGTGTGACAGGTTTAAGGGCTGATTTACGAGCACACACTTACTGATCATCATCTGAAAAGCTCAACATCTCTCTATTTATGCTCTCAACAAATAACTAATGTGAGCCAACTAGGATTTGTCCCCAGGTTCATTGTAAACTCTGACTTATCCATGTGACTGTTAAGAAGCAGAAACATAACTTGTTTCTTCATGTGCAACATGTTAGTCTGGAGGTTTAAACTGGTGTCCTCTCACAGAGTTGGTGATTCAAACTAAACTTTCATCTGAGTTCAGCCTGTTTACTTACAACACAGCTACACTCACAGATAACTGAGCCTCCTACCTGCCTGTCAAACACCATCAACCCACAAACCTTCTCCAGTCCGGACTGAGTGGAGTCCTGCGGGGTGAAGCTGTGAAGGCTGCGAGCGGAGCTAGCTGCTAACAGCCACCGCTGCAACTAACAGACTCCACAGATCCATTCAGCAGCTCCACCATCCACAGTCAGACACACATGGCTGATTATTTACTGCTAAATTACAGCTCACAACTCGCACCAACCCAAACATCCTGGTGCAGACTATTTACTGGAGTTTACCAGCCTGTCGCTCATCAGGCATCTGAAGATCATTACAAGCTGTCAGTGTCCGACAGTCCACCACCAACATTTAGTCTCTTCAGTGAAAGTCAAACATAAATTTCATCTTAGTTTTTACTGTAACGATCTATTTTAGCTCATCATCGTCTTGTTTTTGTCGTGGAGAAAGGTTGTTGATGAAAATATTTCATCATAGTTTCATAAACACTGCAGCGATAAACTGAGAAGATGTTGGTGGTCAAAGGTCAAAGGTCAGTGTGATCTCACAAAACGTGTTTTTGACCATAACACATAATTCTTGTTCTTGACAAATATTAGATTTAAATGCACCACAGCAGGATGTACTTTGGTGCATTTAAGTATCTACAGGTGAAACAAACAGATTAGTTTTGCAGGAGCTCAAATGAGACGTTGACAGCAGCTTTGTGAGCCTCAACAGGTCCAGCATCTACAGAGTCTTAACATTATCAATAACTGTGTCATCTATATAGTTTATGGTGAACACTGAGTGCAGATAGCTCCCGCAGTGTTTTAATGATGAACTCTTGATGTAAAGAGCTTTTAATCCCTAAAGTCAGTCCTGATCCTCTGACTTCCCTCGAGCACCTGACCTATTTTTACCCCCCACACCCTGATGGGAGCCGAAACCCAGTCCACTGGGCTTGAGTTACTCTGTTCCAAATATAAGAGGTGTCTGAAGAGGCTGCACCCGTGTGCACCCACAGATTTATGAACAGAAACAGCTGCTAACCTCTGAGGATTCTCACAGCATTGCTTCCATTCCTGCACCACCTCCCCTCGTTTCTTCAAACTCTTCCCTCCTTTCTTCCACTTCACGTTTGACTCCAGCTCCAGGTGATCCGCAGATATTCAGACTTCTTAAAGGTCACAGTTTTAAAGGCTTCGCTGACATTTGGTGTCTGAAATGATTAAAAGTCAGCGTTGTGTTGCTGCAGTCTGTTCTGAGTGTTTCTCTCTTTGATGGTTGGTGCTCACTGAGACAGGTGTGTTTTAGGATTGTGATGTTGGAGCCGTGCACGCTGTGACACACAGATTTACTGTGTTGTGTTTTCCTGTCAGATTTGCGTCAGACATGTGTGTGAGCTGTGTCACTGAAACAGCAGACGTGATGTTAAGAGTTCCTCAGAAGTTTACCATCATTAAATTACATCTTCATCATGCCAGGTCACAAGTATTGAAGCTCTTCAACATATTGAGCGGCTCCTCATGTGATGGTGACGCGCTGAACTCTGAACTAATGAAGTGAGCGTGCTCTCCACACATATTAGCGGCGTCATCAGAAACTAACCCATGTTAAGTCGCTCTGACCCCGGCGCTGTTATCCAATTTATAGCGAGTGTGCTGAGCGAGTGGCTTCTCCACCCAGATTAACACCAACAGGCCGATCTGCTGCTGATTCACAGCGAAGCTGACGGAGGATTCGTCCAAGCAGAGGAGAGCTGGGACTCAACTGAAAGGGTTAAAAAAAGGCTCAGTCAGTCTGTAGGTTATAAAGTGTTTGTTCAGTTTTAACATCTGCTGATCTGATCCCAGAGGGTCCATGAACACAACACGAGGCTGATGTTGGTCAGTTCGGTTTGAAACACTGTGCTCACCAAGTTAACCGCTGAGATCTGAGAACAGGGTTAAATTATTACCCAAACCGTCTTTCAGTCATCCATCACAGGTCACAGAGCAACTTCCTGATTCAGGTTTGACCTGCTGTACTTGCCGTAGTTGTGTGCAAGCAGCTTTCCTGTGCACTGAGTGATTTGTTTCTGACACCTTAACGACCGGTCTTTTCTCTGTTGTGACACAGGTCATTTTAGTGTTGATGCACTTGGATGTTTCTGCAGTGATCAGTCGGACGTGTCTCCTCTCCTCACAGTGTGTGTGCATGTGTTGGAGTGTGAGTGGATGACGCAAGGCAGGTGATGATTGCTGATTGGCTCATTCAAAGGGATTGCTCTCATTGGATTGGTCCAGCTGCTGACAGAAGCTCCTCCCTCTTTTTCACCTCTGTCACTGCAAACAAAGCCACATTCAGACTGTGGGTGTAGATTTGTCTTTAAGACACTGCAGGTTACTGTGTTCAACTCATTGACTTTGTTACTGAGGAGATCCTTTTGATCCGTTTTGAGCACATTAAGGCCGTTTAAGTTGGTGTGAGACGCCCCCCCTGTGGTGTGGTGGTGTGACTGCTAACTTTGTTATCTGATAAATACTGTGTAGTTGGCCTGTGTTGGGAGAGGGAGGAGTGGGGAGTCACACTGCATGTTTCCCCTCAACCGGAGACACCTCACACAGTGACAGTGGTATTAAATATAATAAATACAGTAATGAGTGGTTTAGATATTCTGGATAAAGTGTTGGCTTGTCGGCTGATCCTCTGATTGTGTTTGATTGATTATCTCTGTGTTGTCAGGTCTCAGCCCTCACCTTGGTGTTTACAGTGTTAACATAAAATCCCAAACTGATGGTTAAAACTATGAAAACAGTGTTTCAGTCATATTAAAACACAATGATCCTTCTGTGAGTGAGAAAAACGCTGCAAGAGGAGACTTGCTCAAAAATGGTTTTCTCTTTTTTAATCTTTGGGTCAAAATCTGCTCAGTGGTCCGTTAACAAACATTTATTATAATAAAAAATACAAGGACACGTTTCTGACTTTAACTGTTGCGTCTGATTCTATAAAATGAATCTGTGGATGAATTCAGTGTGAAGTTGATGTGTTGCAGATCTGTATAAAGAGTTCTCGCTGTTTCAAACAGCAGCGTGGCCTCTGACGCACCACTGTGGTACAAGTTCATCTGTGTTTCCCACAGTGTCAGTGACCTGAGGGTGGAGGAGTGAGTGAAGGAGGCTCCTCCTCCTCGTCTGAATCAAACTCCACATTCTCATCTTTCACCCAGCGGCCGCTCCGGTCCTGCAGCCACCCGTCACTGAGAAACACAGCAAAGATGGAGAGCATGAGTTCAGTCACATAAACTGAGCTGACACAACTTCAGCCTGACGAACATGAAGACGTCCTGAACCTTTTCAGTTTGAGGTAGTGTTCCAGCTCTCGTCTCCTCTGGGCTGTTAGAGGCTCTGCAGCTTCCCTCATGTCTGCTGATGGACGTGAACCTTCGCCGGCTGCAGGAGACGAAACACGTCCACAGTTAAAGCTCAGTCAGAGAAAGGCTCTCTGTGCATCATCAACACTTCCTGTGACAGACTTTACCTGCTGCGCAGCCACTGGAGCTGTTCTGTGATGAAACGTTTGAAGCTTCAGTTTCCTGACAGGATCGTTCTTGTTCTGATGCTGTTCTGCTGCAAGAGGTGACGGCGGGATCTGAGACGATTCTCAGCAAACCTTTGTCAGATTTTGTACTTGAAAATAAAACAGATTTATGATTCATACTGTGTTTTTAAACATGTATTGGACACTGTATATGATACAACCATGTGACCCACCTGGTTTTGGTATGGCAGCTGTTATACGGTACAGTCTTCAACAGAGCGTGATGTGTCAGTTTGCGTGTTTGTTCCAGTAAAGGAGCAGAACGGGACGGCTCCTAAAAACACAACGAGACGCTGTGTGTGAAACAGTTGAAGAGTTCACTCAGACGTCACTGTTGTTTATCTCTTCACAACAGACACCAACTTAAACTGTTATCAGGATGTTATCGTCGGGTCACACGGCAGTCACAGGGGCACCGCACGATGACAACAACACAACAATACAACAGTTGGTCAAAGACGAGGTTTGTTTAGCTCACGTTGTTTTTCCTGATGAGTAGTCACTGAGCGATGAGATTCTGTTTGCTTATAGGAGTCAACAGAGCAGCATGGAGACACACCTGACTGTCACAGTCACCTACCTGTCCTGTGTCTTCACTCTGGACGTACTTCTCATGTTGCCTTTTTGTTACTTCATTCTTCAGCCGTGCTTTTTTCCCATAGAACGCTTTCAAACCTGAAGACGTACAACATAACAAATATTAATGTATTTTCTAAACCATTTATAGTTACATCAAAGGGACAGTTCAGTTTTATGAAGGGGGGGTCTGTGTGAGGGACTTATAGTCAGTATATTACCTACAGCAGATGTCAGGCACATGTCTCCCAGTTTGGAGCAGCAGACTAGAGTCTGACATGGAAACAAAGCACTGTACTATCAGTGGACGAGGTCAGCAACAAAGGATATTACAGCCAGCTATAAAGGTCCCACATAAAATATTAATATCAGTTAAAGTGTACTCTGTACTGAGAGTACTTTCAGTGGTTTACATTAATGTCAGACAGTGATTTCCAACTGGAAAATGAAGCAGTTATATCTCTCTCTTCAGAGCCAGACTCCATTGAGAAAACTACTAATTTAACATGAGTGAACTCAGGAGCTGCTGGTCGACTGCTGCCTCCATCAGTGTGTTACTTTGTGTTACTGTGTGACTTTGGTGACGTCACACAGTAACACAAACTATATTACTGATGGCGGCAGCTCCTGTGTCAGGGAGCTTAAATTACTGTTTCTGTCAATGGAGTCTGGCTGATACGAGAGAACAGACGGGGGACTGAAGCCTTTAATGGCTGTCCTGTCAGAACATGCTGTCTCACATGTCAATCAATCAATCAATCAATCAATTTTATTTATAAAGCCCAATATCACAAATCACAATTTGCCATGTAGGTACAGTGGTGAAAATACTCTGAGCAGAGCGAACACTGACACCGACACTGAGTTTGGGACGTTTTTAGGTGTCTAAAACACATTTTGCTGCTGACCTCGTCCACAGCAGCAGACTGCTTCACTTCTGTGTCAGACTCCAGTCTGCTTCTCCAAAGTGGGGGCGTGCTGACCACCACCCACTGAAGGTGACACACTGACTGTGGATCAATACCTCAAACAACCCCACTTCAGGGTTGCATAGTATAGATTTTAAGATGATTTTTGTGTCACTGTGATAAAGTGATTTCAGGATCTCAAGTCCAGATATTTCCTCCAGTAAATATTTTATTTTTCTCAAGAGGTAAATTATCTAAACAAAAAGCTGATTATTTGAGAGACACAGTAGGTAATCTTGTGAGAGAATCAACCTGCCACCTGAACACTTTCCTCCTAAATAACTGCTTCAACATGATGAACAAGAGTCTCCTCATCAGTGTCTCACCTTCCAGATGTCTCTTTCCGTTCCTGTGGACAGTCAGTGTGTCCACAGTGTCAAACACGGGACGGTAGGAGCACACGAGGCAGGTGTACCTGTGTGAGCACACGATGGACAAACTGTGAGTCTAACCTTCATGTCAGGATGTTGTTTAATGAAGAGTTAAAACCTTCAACAGCCACAGAGAGACTCGACATGTCAGAGTTTATCATGACTTCACTTCACCTTCCGTTCTTCATCAGAGCTGCTTCATCTTCTGGAATAAAATGAGACAGCAGATCTGCCACGCGCCGTTTCTGAAACACGAGACAACAAAGAGTTAATAAACTTTTAATTTAATAGTTTCAAAGATGCAGCTCACACAGTAGCAGTTAGCTTGGTGAGCTAGCAGGATGCTAACCACAACAACACTGTTAAACTGAGCGGAAGTTCCTTCTCGAGAAAGTAAAAAGGTGAATGTTACCTTCAGGATGCTCAGCTGACTCGTGTCGTCACCTTCTCTTTTAAAAGACATGATTATTATGACGGGTAATTACCTTTAAACTCTAGTTAGTAACAGGTTAGCTTAGCCGGTTAGCTGCTTCACAGCAACCACAAGCTAATCCGGGTAGCAATGCTGCGTTCCCGGGCCCAGGGGAAAATGGGAAATATCAGAGTCCTCTCTGAAAATCAGAAATAATTCATCGATCCCCGGGAATAAATTGTGTTCCGGTACAGTTGCTCTGATGTAAAGTATAGAGAATTATAATTTAATTGAGTTCAGCTTATTTAGGTATTTTCCAACTTCTACAACTTAACGTGCACACAAGAAAATACATTAAAACAATAGTAGCAATGATAATGAATTCCTTTTGAAGCAGTAACAAACCAAAGCGAGTTTTGCTGAGTGAAAAGATGTACACTTATTGCACCTTCACTTTTTACGTTAATACTTTCCTCTCTAGATTTATACCATGAATATGAGAGACACAAAACTAAATATATGTATATTCTATGTACCCCAGAATCCCAAACAAATATCCATATACACACACTGGAATTTATGACTCTATTTGTTAATCTAATTTTTTTTTAATATTTTTTGTTTGAAATTGCAACAATTATATATCTCTCTTCAGAGCCAGACTCCTGATGTTAAATCACTGGTTTTCTCAGTGGAGTCTGGCATTAAAGAGATGGCTGCATTTTTTATGTTACTGAACCTCCTTGTTGGACTCCAGCCTGCCTCTTCAAACTGGGAGCATGCTGACTGACAATACTGTTTGACACTTACTGTTTGTACTAAGCCATCTGTGGTTGGTATATTTCAAAATAACTCTTCTTCATGAGACACGTTTTTTTTTAGTTTAAATTTTAAAATCTTTAATCTGACTCTTTCTCAATTGTGGGATCAATAAAGGCGTATCTTATCTTATCATATCTTATGCGCAAAAAAAACCGCATCATGTGTACGATCCATTTTATGACAAAAAATCCAAATATTCCAAAGTATTTTTATTTTTATATTTCTGTGCATATATATATATATATATATATATATATATATATATATATGTGTGTGTGTGTGTGTATATATATATATATTTCAGAATAAACCTGCATGATTATAAGATAATTGAGACTTTTATTTCTAAATTTTTTTTTATTACTTCGGTTATTTTATTTTATTTTATTTTATTCTTACGGCAGTTCTGATCCTCCATGATACCTTCGTGTCCACTGGGTGGCGGTAAGGCAACTTATAGGATGCCAACCTCCATTTAAACCAAAGAAGAAGAAGACGGAAGCAGTTATTCCGATGGTCGTGAATGCAGCGCATGTGACGCCTCATGGGACACGGCAGCCATGGCAACAGGTCCCAGCAGACAGACAGACAGACAGCTGACACATCAACAAGTTGCCCAGCTCCTCTTCCTCAGTGTGTCGGTGTGTCGGTGTGACACCGAGCCGGTAGGTGAAACTGTTTGAAGTCACTTAGTAACCGTGACGGAACCGGAAGTGTTAATGAGCTCCGGTCCGACTCTCGTTAAAACAAACGAGCGTCACTGTTAATTAGTTCAAAACAAAGCTAACATGCTAACTAAGCTGCTAGCCCAGGACTGTAACGCGTCCGTGTGTGACGTCAGCTTTATTCTCATGATGTAAACAACATTAAAGTTTCCCGGTGACGGAACTTTGCCGCCGTTTGATCGGTAACTTCAGCCGCGTGCTCCAGCACCATGTCCGGGGAGCGAGAGCCGGTACAGTCCGGGGGGAACGGCCTCCTCCGCGGGAGCCGCACCAGGTCTTACGGCAGTTTGGTCCGGTCTCCCCGCTCTCCGGTTCACCAGAGGCGGATCGAACACAAGATTCAGCCCGGAGAGACGCTCCAAGGCCTGGCGCTCAAATACGGAGTGACGGTGAGTGAAGAGCTCTGAAGACTGGCTCTCTATAGCTATACTTATGTTTATATTTATATCTATAGCTATACTTATATTTATATCTATACTTATATTTATATTTATGTTTAGTCATTAATTTGAGCTCATCTGCAGACTCTCTCTGTGTTCATTAACTTAATGTGGAGATCTCAAATACAGTTTATCACAACTCTCTATCTAAGTACTTCTCCTCAAGTACTGCACTCAAGTACAGTTTTAAAGTACCTGTACTTCACTGTATTCCTCCTTCATACTTCTACTCCACTACAGTTACTGACACCTTTAGTTACTTTGCAGCTTCAGATCATTAATACAAAATATAATCAATAAGTCCTGTGATAATGTGACGACCTGTCTCAGGTGAACCCGCCTCTCGCCCAATGACAGCTGGGATAGACTCCAGCACACCTGTGACCCTGCATGAGGACAAGCTGTCATGGCAAACGAATGAATGAATGAATGAATGAGTGAATGATTAATTAACATATAAATGTGATGTCGTAAGTTGTGTGTGTGTGTGTGTGTGTGTGTGTGTGTGGAGGAAGTCCTCAGATTCAGTAAAAGTAACTAATACCACACTGTAAAAATGCTCTGTTACCTGTAAGAGCTCTGCATTAGAAGTGTTACTAAAGTAAAAGTATGTTTAAGTTCAATCAGGGAAATGTGTTAATATATTAACAGTAAAACTGAGCAGTGTGTCTCTCTCCTCGTCTTCATATTCAGGACAGTAAAACATGAAATGAAGCTCATTCTCAGTTTCAGCTCATCAATCAGAGTCTGTCATGAAACCTCTCAGACTCTGAGGCTGACGGGAACCTTCCTGAGTGCAACTGTGCTTCTGTTTGAATTATTCCTCACATCAGGTTCCACACTGGAGCTGTTCGTTATGAGACAGGAAGTTCCTAATGTAGGTTTATACCAAATATCAACGCACCATTTTTCTCTAAACATAGAAACATTTTACTTTAAATCTCAAATGACAAGTTGTTTAAATGAAATAAGGAAGCTGAACATTTAAATAAAAAGAAAAGTTGAAATAAATGTAATGAATAAAAAATAAATAAATAGATCCTCATATTTGAAAAGCCAGCACTTATTTATTTTTTTCATGAATAATGACAGTCAGCAAAATAGTTTCCAGTTAATATTTTTCAGCTCAGTTTCAGCTGCTCTTCTTTGGTTTCATATGGTTCATGTGCAAAAATCTTAATTTGTGAACTAAAGTTTGCAAATAAAAGCAGTGGAGTCTGTTTTACAGCTTCTGGCTGTGATCAATGGTGAATGTTTGGGCAGTTTTTAAAGAACATTTGCTTTCAGCCGGTTTGGAAGGAACGATATCTTTGAAAATCACCAAAAATAAATAACTAGAAATTACCACTAAATTTGGAGGACATGTTTTCTTTAAGAACTGGCACTTTCTTTGATTTTCAAAGGAAACATGTTCTCCTTATGCTTTTTGATTTGTTTTTTTAAATGGAAAAATTTCTCACCAAATTTGGAAGGCATGTTTTCTTTAAAGAATTGGCAGTGAAATAAATACAGAATACAACCATTTAAATGTGTATGCCCATTCCCCCTCCCCCCCCCGCCAAAATAACAAACACAGGACCGTGACAGTTTGATCGGAGCGCCGTCCTGCTCCTGATTTCAGTAACATGAAGATTCAGCCAACTTTTTAGACTGAACTGACACTGCCTTCAGGTGAAATCAAGATCTGACGGATCGTCTTCTGTTTCAGATGGAGCAGATCAAACGAGCCAACAGGCTGTACACCAACGACTCCATCTTCCTCAAGAATTCCTTGTCGATCCCCGTGCTGTCAGATCCGGAGCGCTGCAGTAACGGCGTGGATTTAGATGAAGAAGACAGTGAAGACGACAGTGACGGCTTTGCTTCGGCTCCAAACAGACGCACAGGGAGCTCCTCTGACAGGAAGCAGAATGACGACAATGACAGGATGTGTGACCTCACACCAGGGGACTTTCTGAAGAGGTTGGACGGGTTGATAAGTCAGTCCAAGCAGGCTGCTGTCAGAGGCTGTCAGGAGGCAGAGAAAAGGTACGACCGCATGACTCTCACTGCCTGCGTCTTCACCTCAGACAGACATGCTCCGTGTTTGTGGTGTGACATCAGCCTCTTTTTACACACAGATGGCGCTACAGAGTCGCCACGAGGTCCCGTCTTTACACCACCTTTACATTTTCACACAGAACCAAACCACAGCGGCATCATGTTGCTCCAGTGTGTGATGTCACACAGCATGATGACATCACAGAGTCAAAAGAGGCGTGACATGTAACACAACAGCGTCAGCCTCTAGTGTGACATATAACATACATGTCAGCAGCACTTTATAAACAATAACAATGACATCACATGTCAGTAACAATCATTTAGTGTCCCTGTTGTATGGCGGCTGATCTCGTCCTCTGCTCGGAGGGTAAAGAGCTCCTGGACCTCAATGATGAGTTAGCTGCTAACTGCTATCAGCTGCTGCTCTTCTTCTTTGAGTTACTTGAGCTACTTTTTAAATCTCCTGTGCTGGATCACCGACATAAGTGTCCCACCCGTCCTGTTGGCTGTCCCTTTTATACAGACATAAAGTCGGTGCTTTTGCTACCTTCCATGGCGACTTAAAGGCAAACTAACTCCGTCCCCTGATTCTGTGATCGTACCTTTTAAACAGATCAGCGAGGCAGCATAACGGAGTGATATTTCAGCCTTGAACAGGTTGTTTTAAAGGAGTTGCCATTTTAGTTGCTTCTGTCCTGTTTTACATTCCAAATGTTAACATATTCCATATATTTAACTTTCACTGAACCTTTATTTAACAGGAAGTCCCCTCGAGATGGAAACCTCTTTTCCAAATAAGACCTGGTGCAGACAGAACACTGCTTACAGTTTAATAGAAATAAAAGACAACAGACAGGAAGTACGATCGTCAAACACACAAGGATGAGACTAAATCCAGCTCCAATTAAAAAGATTTGCATGCCACCGTTTGTTTACTTTCATGTCACTCCCAAATCAAACACCTGAAAGAAGGAAAGAAGAATGGTGTCTCCCGGTAATTCAGACGAGGTCTCAGCCTGCAGGCGACTTGAAGATCAACAGTCATGAATGACTCTGACGAAGGCCCGAGGGACGAGACGTCATCTGAACTATAGAGAAATGGAGCCAGAGTGTGAAGCTGTGTACCTGCTCTCACTCAGGAAAACCTGGAGAGGTCATGGAAATTTACAGACTCATTTTCCAGGTCTGGGAAAGTCAGACTTAGTAAAAATCCTTGATAGTTTTGAAAAAGCCAAATTATTTTATTGTATGTAATGAAATGAATTGTTACAGTGATCCTCTCCTTGGATTAGCTTTCACCTAACGTAACATAGCGCCACATTTATTTCCTGTAGCTCTAATATGTGTCGATGCGTGACAACGTTAAGTTTACCTTCGCATGTTTTCACTTCCTCCTTGTTTGCCGGCTACTTAGAATTTGAACTGAATCCAACATGTTTGAGCGAAAAATAATGTTGTGACAGTACGACTTTAAAGTTTAAAGTTTCCACACCACCACCTTTAAATTGTTCAACATTTTTGAGATGGAGCAGAATTTGTGTTACACAGTGTGAACGGTCGTGGAGCTTTTAATCCTTGAAAAGTCTTGAAAACACTTTGAAATATTGTCCTTAAAAATGTTGTGAACCCTGTTTCAAGTCTGCAGCCAGTGATGTGCATTTACTGCAACCGCTGGTGTGCATCATTTTAATATTTGATAACAAGTCAAACGGGACACACCCATCTGACTTTGACTTTTCGTTCTTATGAACCACTTCCAACGACTTTGGCACCAAATGTTTGACTGATAATTAACTTGTCAGAGCAGATTGAACATGAAAACACTTCAGTGGAAACCTGTTTGATATCGTAGCAGGACGCGTCCTCTTATCACGGGAGGCGTTCTGTCAAAGCTGCCAGAGATGATTCAGGCTGACTGTGACTCATATCTTCATATTTACCGTATCTCCTCATCTGTTTATTCTTCGCAGGGTTGCCGCCCTCGAAGCAGCCTGCACCAGCAGGACATCAGACCGGCGGCCGCTCACAAGGTCACAGAGTGCCATGTTATCTTCCAGAGCGCAGCAGCAGCAGCAGGCGTCACATGTGGCCGTACCCCTCACCATCACCAAACTCACCAAACTGAGAGACCGGGAAGATGAGATCTTCCAGCTGTGACATGTTGTTCCTGCTGATCATTAAAGACGTGTTGGCTGCAGGGTGTGAACTCCAGATCTCCACTGATCCTCCTGCTGCTCTCTGGACCTGAAACTGAAAAGTCTTTTTGATACAGACTTTGTTTTTTTAGCAGGTTTTTAAATGGATATTGCACTTTGTGAGTCCTTTGTATTTATGTGTTGACACACTGAAGATCAGGGGTGCTCAACTCCCTGTGTCTGGGGGCCACTTTTGTAAAATGACAGGAGATAAGGGGCCCCATTGCAAGATTTTTTTTGGCCATTTTGCCTTTAATGGACAGGACAGGTAAGTGTGAAAGAGGGAGAGAGAGGGGGGATGACATGCAGCAAAGGGCCACAGACTGGATTCGAACCCGGGCCGCTGCGGCAACAGCCTTGTATATGGGGCGTCTGCTCTACCACTAAGCCACTGACGCCCCATTCATTCTGATGCTCTTTAAGCACTCTGGCACCTTATCTCCACCCAAAGTATGAGACACACAGTCCCCAGTGTGAATCACTTTGCTTTTGCTGTGAATCAGAAAAAGGTCGTCGGGTCAGCGGCGCCCTGTCAGAGGCCAGATGTGGCCCACAGACTGCAGGTTGAGCATCACTGCTGTAGAGTATGAAACATTACATGTGGCCCATCGCTGTGTTTGTTTCCACCAACAGGAAACAAGCGTGAAATGTTAAAAAGAGACTCTGCAGACACGTTGGTTCAGTCATGTGACTCCTCACATGGTCGACTCAGCAGGTGGTTTGTGTGTGATGCTACTTCACAGCCTGATGGTGCGACGCTGGCCAAGTGTTGGGACTGACGCCTGCAGCCATGTTGGTCACGTGTTGGTGTGTGAGTCATGTTCACTGTGATATTAACTAACTGTTACTGCTGATTAATTTAAACTCTAACGTAGCCAAAGTTTTTTAGAAGAAGAGAGACGTGTCTCTGAGAAAATATTTTGACAGCAATATTTTTATTATTATGATACAGAGAAGGATTTGTCTCAGTGCTGTTTGTGTGGACACATGGACGATCTGTGTGTTACTGTGTCACCTGTACATATAAAACACCCAAAAGATACAAAAAAGATCTGTAAATCAAAAAACTATTCTGCAGATGTAGAGCAGATCTGCAAATACAACAGGCCCCACACATTTAAAAAAGAAACCTGTGAATACATGTAATTTATTTATAAATACATTTACAGCTGACAAACATATTTGTGAATCTCAATTCTGCGTTTGCAGATTTTTTTTTTTAATTTTTATTTTTGAATTTGTGTATTTGTAGAATTTTTTTATATTTGCAAAATATTTTTGTGAGTTTTTGGAGTTTTTTTATGTATATTTAGTTTTATATTTACACATTACACATTAACACACATGTTGATCTGTTGGCACAAATAATATTGGCACAGATCGATCCACATATTTGTGTATTTGCAGATCAGTTTTATATTTGCAATACTTTATAAAGTTTACAGTTTTTTGTATCATTAGAAAGTGTTTTGTATTTACAGATAACAAATTAATGAACAGATTGTTTTTCTGTTTACAAAAATATTAACTACACAAATCTGTCTCCACATTATGAACTTTTGTTTTTATTTAGCTCATTTTAGAATAAATCAAAAGATGCTGATGTCATGTTTAGTCTCAGGAAGTGTTGACTCTCATTAGTTCTTGATAATAAAATGTAAACTCTGCAGGACTCTCAGTTTGGAAACACGCTTGCCAGTGAAGGTCAGCCTCTCTCATCTGGTGCTTCTCCTCCATATATTTGCATTTTGTTTCCCGCGCTGTGTCTCAGAAGCCTTCTGTTTACAGTCTGGCACCTGGTCGCTACCTTTCTCACAGCCCCAACGTCACCTGAGCAGTGTCGGGGGTTCACATGTCCCGAACACAGTGTAAGAGGAGCGAGGCAGAGGGCGGAGTCTCTGCAGATAAACACACCGCCACACACTTTTACACTAGCGTGGAACTTTTTCAATCCCTGCACCGATCAAAGCATTTTGACCAAAACAAAACTGGTTCACAGTTCAAAAAGTTGTTTCTCAGCTGGAACTTAAAAGCTGCAGGTTTTCTTTGACCTGAAGGTGCAGACTGTGATGACATCAGTGGGCGTGTCTCTTCTACAGGTTAGAGAGAGGGGATGGAGGAGAATCATCTCACTGATCGTTGGTCCATGCTTCTTCTTTTTGGATAAAAAACTTATTTTAAATTTTCTTTTTTTAATCACTGAAAGTTGAATCACACAGTGACACATGACTTCTCATGTTTTTATGACGTTTTCTTTTGCAGAGCCATATTGATGACAGTCGCCTCCCCATGTGCACAAAGTTCCACCAAAACACCCTAAAGAGCCAAATAATTTTCCCTAACCGTCCCTGAGTGACCCTCCCTCAACCATAAATGAGTTATTAGATTTTTAAAACTTAGCCTTTGATGTTTGAAAGTTAAAAGTTGGAGCTGGAGAAAGTCTCGTTTTTCACTCTTGTTGTCCAAACAATTTATTTTTGGCCAAATTTTAAATGAGATATAGAATAAAGTGATTCTGATGAAACATCACTATGTATTATATTATTTAGTATTATTTCTTACTGTTTTTTCATGGAGGTGTTTGTCACACATGATGTGTCCCAGCACCGTCAGATATTTGAAAATCCAATGATAATTGGAACACATGCCTTTCTAATTTTTAAATGCCAAAATCTATCTCCAAAAAATATTGTCAAAATTTGGAAAGCATTTTTTCTTTAAAAATTGGCAGCGAAATTAATACGAAATACAGCCATAAAAATGTGAGTGCTTTTCCCTTCAGCCAGAATAATAAACATTAATCCCTCTTCAGTGCTTAAAATGATCTGACATGTCTCCCTCTCTCTGTACCTCCCCTCATAAATTACAAACGGTCCCTGACAGAACAAAAGTTCACAGATAAAAACATCCTCAATCACAATAGTTTCACTCTAAACTGGTGAAACTCCAACGTTCCAAGATCCAGAACTGATTTGGTGGAAAAGGTTAAACAGAGTCAGAAGTGATGACGGAGACAGATTATTTCTGTACGAGTCTATACACTGGTTTGTTTTTAATGAAATGAAAATACTGCAGAGTGAATTTTTAAAAACAGTTTCCTTTAACTTCATAGTTGAGCTGATCTTTCTCCACATTATTGCTTATTATCCTTTGGTTGTGAAAAACCTGGAAAAGTCACAGAATTCCAGATCAAGTTTTCCAGGCGATGAAAGAGTCCTGGAATCAGTAAAAATCCCTGAATGTTTTGTGAAAGTCATGAAATATTTTTGTGTGTAATAAGATTGTTACAGTGGTCTCCCGTGGTTAATCCTCCATGTAATGTAACATAACGGCAAATTAATTTTCTGTAGCTGTCGATGTAACGAAGCGCTAATGTGTCAGTGTGTCGTTTGGTTTACCATCATGTACGTTATGTTCAGCAGTGAGCTGAAATTATGTTTGAATGGAGTTTGAATCTGTAAAAACGCTGGGCAGGTGGGACAAGAAAAAAAGTTGTTATGGGTCCTTGAAAAGTCCTGGAAAGATTCTGAACTTTTGTCCAGGAGAATGTGTGAGAGTTAAACACTGAATGACAATGTTGGCCTGTTGTATAAGGCTGAGTCTGTTGACTTTCAGTTTCTTTATCATATAAAACCAAAGAACAACACGTGTCTTCCTCTCAACCACGACTAGTCTTCCATTATTTAATGAAAATCCTGCAGAGTAAAACTTTAAAACAACTTGATAGACAACTCAGTAGATGATCTGACTTTTCTCTATGTGATGTCTCACACAAAGAAAAGAATATTTTAGCAGTAAAGAGAGTTCCCTCGGTCCTGGAAAACCTGGAAAAGTCAGAACTTTTCCAGGTTTCCAGACGATGAAAGAGTCATGGAATCAGTAAAAAAAAAATCATTTTTGTGTGTAATAAAATTGTTAGTCATCTGTGTATAACCCTACATGTAATGTAATGGTAAATTAATTTTCTGTAGCTGTCGACGTAACGTAGCACTAACATGTCATCACGTATGTTTCTCCCTTTCCTCCCTGTGTTCTGTCTCCAATTGTTTGTTAGCGAGCTGAATCTGTTTGAATGGAGTCTGAATCTGTTTGAAAAACGCTGGGCGAGTGGGACAAGAAAAACAAACGTTATCGTGGGTCCTTGAAAATCCTGGAAAAGCTTTGAACTGTGTCCAGGACAATGTGTGAGAGCCCTGAGTTAAACACTAAACTGGACTGTTGAATAAGGATGAGTCTGCTGTGTGTTGATTTTCAGTCTTTGTCGTGTAAAACCAGAGAACACGTGTCGTCCTCTCGGCCTCAGCTGAGCTCAGACAAACATGAATTACAGGATTAACACTGAGGCTTTGTGCCGTCAGCAGCGCTTGGTTGATGCTTCTAAACATGTTTGTAGCTCGGGCTGTGAGGAGATGGTGTGGGTGTCAGTGATCGTCTGTGTCTGTGGTCATATGTGCTTTATTGTTGGCTGTGTTGTGTCCGATGGGTTCAGTAAAAAGAGCACAGTGAGTGTCTGAAGCCTTGTGTTGACCAGCAGAGGGCAGTGCTGTATTACAGTGACATTTGTTCTCTCCAGCTGTTTGAACTCAACACAATATAAAACATCAGTAGTTGTGAATGAAACATTTCAAGGTCTCAGATATTATTTTAACAGTGGATGACATGATCTAATGAAACAGCTGATACAGTATAAACCAGTTTATCTTCAAGTTTGCTTTCTGTGAGCATGTGTGTGTGTGTGTGTATATATATATTATATATATCACAGTAGTACAGTATGTAAATATATATATCACCTCTAAACATGAAAAACTTGAGGAACGAGAAACTTTATTTAGATCCCACATGTTCTTTGAGAACGATGGGGCAGCAGTTTTGTTCTCAGATCACTTGTCTCCTGCTGCCAGCCCTCAGCAGCTGCGAGACCAAGTTTGTCCATCAGTGGTGAGTCTGCCCGTTGATCTCCCAGCGTCTGTCCGACCTGCCGTCGTGTCCCTCATATTGTCCCGTCCTCCATAAGTTTGTCCAGTCCTTTGCAGATCTTGGTGAGGTGGGGTCTGAAGGGGCCGCTGGGGTCGTACAGTTTGGTCAGGAGCTCCGGGTCGGAGAAATGGTTGAAGACGTGGTTGATGCGGCCGTGGGATTTCGGGGTGAGGTGGGTGTTGACCAGCTTCAGCAGCAGATCCCTGCAGCTGGTCAGAAGTTCGGCCATCACAGCTTTATCGAAGGTGAAGTCCACCTGCAGCGGTCGCAGAAATGTAAAGACAGAGTGTGGTTACTGCGACGGATCATCTCTCATATCTGTGTTCATGACATCATCTAACAGGGCAGTTGTTACTGTGAGCTGTTGGGATGGATGTATGAAGATACACTCTGAGTTAAAGCTTTCATCATCTGCACATTCTTAAAAAGAGAATTATATAAACTATAAGTAAATCAGTTCAGTGCAGAGTGTTAGGTTTTATTTTTATGTCAACCTTTCTCACAGGTGTCACTTTAATCTAAAATCTAAAAGTGTGATATAAATCTTTTCATGTCGTATGTTTCAAAAGCAGAAATGAAAACTAGTTAAATTAAGGTCGTTCAGTTCTTGGAAATAAAAACAGCACATTTCTGCACCACAAACGAACACGTCGACTCTTTAACACAGAACAGAGAGACTTTATACGTGTTCACTGTTTGTGCTCAACGCGTCTGATTTAATGAACTCAGACATTTTCACCCTGAACACTTAGTTTACTGCCGTCTTTATCTTGATGTAATTTAAGGTTGTTTTGTTTTTCAGCCTTTTTTGCCTTTATTTTACAGGATAGTTTAGTCAGTAGGAAGACGGGGATCGAACCTGTGGCCCCACTGTGAGGACATTGCCTTTGTTCATGGGATGCCCACTCTGCCCACTGAGCTACTGGGCTCCTGTCACTACTCTGACACAGATAAATCAAATTATAATAAATCAAATAAACTAAATTTAGGTCAGATCGTCACCTGGGTCCAGACCTTTGACTCCGCCCACTCCACTGAGTTAAGTCGACTGATTCGTCTGGCATCATGACACGAAACAGCATTTTCTTGGTTAAAATAAAAGGAACAACCAATGAGCGCTGCAGTGAGACCCAGTTAGCCAATCAGCTCCATGGGCGGGACTCCTGCTGTTACCAGGCTACTGTCAAGAGTCGTCAAGCGTCAGAACCACTGAGGAGATATATGATGAAATATGATATGACCTGACGGCGCCGTTTGTT